AATATAATTATATTTTTTATTAATATATATAATTTAAAACACTAATTTATCTAAAAATATGTGTTAACATATATATGTCAGGTTACATAGATATTTCATATAAAGTTATTGTAATTTTTGACATTTAGTCGACTTTTTAATATTAGAATCGACTCTTATAGGTTAAGAGTCGACTCTATAAAGAACACAGTTGACTATACGCACCACGGGGAACTTCCCCTGCTCTCTGGAATTTGGGAGTCGACTGTTGCTTATTTATAATCGACTCTTTGAGGATTTAGAGTCGACTCTTTATGTATAGAGTCGACTCTAACCTGCAGCAGGATGCTCAAACCTCTCTGGAATTTAGCAGTCGAATGTTGGTCATATATAGTCGACTCTACATATGAAGAGTCGACTCTACATATGAAGAGTCGACTCTTCATATGTAGAGTCGACTCTAACCTGCAGCAGATGCTCAAACCTCTCGAATTTGGGAGTCGAATGTTGGTCATATATAATCGACTCTTTGAGGCCTTAGAGTCGACTCTAACCTGCAGCAGGATGCTCAAACCTTTCTGGAATTTGGGAGTCGAATGTTGGTCATATATAGTCGACTCTTTGAGGCCTTAGAGTCGACTCTAACCTGCAGTAGGATGCTCAAACCTCTCTGGAATTTGGGAGTCGAATGTTGGTCATATATAGTCGACTCTAGGAGGATTTAGAGTTGATTCTTCATGTATAGAGTCGACTCTACCACCCACCCGGTTGCTGGCATTGGTTGCTGCGCGGGGACCGGAGTTTGGGAGCACTTTCAGCAACAAGAGGCTTGTTGCTGAAAGTGCAAGAGGTGTTCAAAAGAGGGACACTTTCAGCAACTTGTCCCTTGTTGCTGAAAGTGCAAGGAGTGGCCGGAGTTGGGAGCACTTTCAGCAACAAGAGGCTTGTTGCTGAAAGTGTAAGAGGTGATAAAAAAGAGAGACACTTTCAGCAACATGCCCATTGTTGCTGAAAGTGAATTTCAGCAACGAGTTCCTTGTTGCTGAAAAGTGGAGCTCATTTAAATGGCAAAGAATTCACCGGAAAATATCAGCAAGATGAAGTATGTTGCTGAAAGTTACTTTCAGCAACAAAAAGTGTATTGGTGAAAGTGGGGCAGCTTTTTGCATGGATTGGTGCACTGTAGCACTTTCAGCAACATAAAGCTTGTTGCTGATACTTATTTTTAGCAACAAGCAATCCTTTATTGCTGATGTATTGTTGGTAAAACCCAAAATTTTAGTAGTGTATGTTAAAATTGATATGGTTTGAAGATCGAAGTTTGAGTTTTGCTTCTAGAGTGGAGATGAGAAAGAATTTTAGGGTTTACAAAATAATCACGA